GGAAAATAGATTTAGAATGTATAATATTAAATGAGATAATCCAATCTCAGAAAGAAAAAAAAAATCAAATGTTGCCCTCACATGCAGAGTCTAGATTATGTACTATACATGTATACACTGTACATATGGACTCAGGAAGCAGATTTAGGTAGACCTCTGTGTGATCAAGGCCAGCCTGGTCTACATAGCAAGTTCTGGGCCAGCTGGGGCTATAGGGAGACTGTCTCAATGCACCCATCCCACCGGGGGAAAAAACAAACAAACAAACAAACAAACAAAAGCTACCAAATGCACATGTGGGTGCAATAAACACATTTAGAAAGGAGAATAGGGACTAGAGTCATGGCTCAGTGGTTAGGAGCACTAGCTGCTGTTGCAGAGGACCCAACTAAACATTTAAAACTCAAGTTCCTGAGGAATCAATGTCCTCTTCTGACCTCCATGGGCATTGCAAACACATGTGCACTTACATACATGCATGCAAAATACTCATACATATTTTAAAAAAATTAGAACCAAGGCTACAAAAAGTTGAAATGCATACTAATGAGTTCATATATATTATATACTTCTTGTAAGTCCTTTGAATTCCCTCTCAAGGTATAATATATTTTCAATGCAAAATAAATCCTTAAATGAACACTGTATACATGAGATTCCATAAGGGGCTGTTACCTTAACTAGGAGATCTGAATTTTAAATTATGTTTCTCATTGTTCAAATATTCCCATAGGCTGTGGTTCTTTGTAGGTACTACTAAACTTAGTGTACTTTATTCCTTGAATAAGAATTTTAATTATTCAGGTAATAGAATTTGAAGAGTGTTAGATGCTTAAAATATTAATCATAATTTTGAAATTTCTGAGAATTCCCGAGAATACTGACTTATTGTCCTAAAATCTAAAACAGTAACATTTGAAGAATTCAAAAACATTGAGAATCTTGCTTTTTTCCACTGTTATAATTCTAAAATGTACCACTATTGCTAAATAAATGTACCTTGCTTTAATATTGTAGAAAAAAAATCCCCAAACAGTGCACAGTGAAAAAAATGTACAAGAGAGTGGAAGCACAGGCAAAGCTGAGTAGACAAGGAACAGCCAGGACACCACAAGATGTTTCTAACAGCTGCCAAAGATCGAGGCAGAAGTTTTTTAAACACTATGTAGTCCAGGCTGGCTTTAAACTCACCATCTTCCACACCTTCTGAGTTCTGGTATTACAAGCATGCACAACCATACCTAGTATCAGTTATTCGTTTTGATGGAGATTCTCAGCAAATTTCTATTGTTAGTATTAATACACCTTTTTTATTTTTTATATTTTATGTGTATGAATGTATTACCTCCATGCATGTGAGTGCACCCGTGTCGTGCAACACCGCAGAGGTCAGAAGAGGGCTTCAGAGCCCCCTGGAACTGGAGTTAAGCCACCATGTGGCCATGTGGGTGCTGGGGATCAAACCTGGGTCCTCTGCAAGAGCAGTCAGTGCTCTTAACCGCTGAGCCATCTCTCCAGCCCCAGTATTGTTAAATCTCTGAAGTGTTATTGTTCATTTTTATTGGCATATACAATGTACAAAACAATGTATTTCATTATGAAATTTTCATACATGCATATTTCAGACCTTGATCATACTCACTGTTTTTCTTACTCCCATCTTCTACCCCAATAGTTCCCTTTATTCTCCCCCTCCTACTTTCAAGTTCAATCCATTTTACTGCAATCTATTTTACTAATTCATGGCTGCATAATTCAACATAGTATTTGCATGTGTGTATATGTACAGTCATATACATATTTTGATAAACACATACATCAGAATTTATCAGTTCATCCACTGTTACTCAGCTAGACTGACTGTATGATATCATTATTCTGACATGTGGTGTGTGTGTGCATGGAGATGTGGGGGGCAGTGCAGAATTCAGAAAAGAGCCAACAATCAGGACACAGTTACCTGGCTGTATTGTACTTTGAAGCTGGCTACTTCTGGAAAGGACTTATGAAGGCTGATGGGAGACAAAAGTCACCAAAGATCTAACTGTGAGCCTGGTGAGGTACAATACCAACCTGTCAGGCAAGAAATGTGCACTTGCATAATAGTAGCATGACCGTTATGGATATGTATTAAGTCATTTTCTATTGCTGTGATAAAAACAGTGACCAAAGCAACTTACAGAGTTTATTTGACCTTACAGTTCAAGAGGGTTAGAGTCCATTATCATGGGTAGAAGAGGTTACTGGAGCAGAAAGCTGAGTGAGTGATCACATCTTCAAGCAGACAAAGGAAGCAGGGAGCAACTGGAAAACTGGCAAGGCTTAAGAAGTCTCAAAGCCCACTCCCAGTGATGTGCTTCTATCAGAAAGGCCACACGTTCTAAGACTCCCAAAACAGTACCACCATGTGGGGATAAAATGTCCACAATACTTGGAGCCCATGGGGAACATTCTCATTCAAACCACCACAGAGGGTAACCAATAGCTTTCTTTAAAAAATTTTTTTATAATTTTTATTTTATGTATGTGTTTTGCTTGAATATACGTAAGTGTACCATGTATATGCCATGTCCAAAGAGGCCAGAAGTGGATGTTGGATCCCATGGAATTGGAGTTGTGGATGGCTATTAGCCACCATGTGGGTGTTGGCAACTGAATCTGAGTCCTCTTGATGATCAGCCAGTGTTCTTGACCACTCAAGTCATCTCTCCAGCTTTGACCAACAACTTTCTGATAGGCTTTGAGATATTTCAAAGGATGGGATACATGCCCTGTATCACACACACCTTAGATGGCAGCTGCAGCTTGGCATACATCATTCTCCAATCCCTGAGCCCTGGGTGGGTGAAGTTTAATACTGGAGTACTATCCAAGGATCTACATTCTGCAGACTTATTCTCTATGCTTTGGCCATTTCTGGCACTTTGTGTTCATTGCCCTCTGTTGCATGAGGGAGTTTTTTTGATGAGAGTTGAGAGAGATTCATTAATACTCTCTCTACCCCTTGTTCCACTACATTTCATGAGTCTTAGGTGTAGAGGTTCCATTGTAGATGTGTCACTTAAAGTTGGGCATTTCACAGGACCTTGCTCATATGAACTTACAACAATGGTGACAGCAGGCACAAGACCCATGCAAACTCAAGCAGACAAAAACCCAGCATAGAACTGTGGAAATGGGCAGCAGGCCCCAATCTTAGCTGAAGGACTATTGGGCAGTTGATTACCCTTGGGTGAGGGAGAGCTGCTCTTCTTTAAGGTAGTGACTCTAAGTAGGCTGACCTGAACCCAGTGGATGAATTTACACAGAGGGATGTCTGGGAACACTAACTTGACTTGATAGGTCTTAACAAAAATGACACAATGCATGAGATCCAGTGGAGGACTATGGGAGGGTGCCAGTGGGGAAGGGGTATAAAGATGATTAAGAGGTTGAGTACAAAGTACACAAAAACTCAATAAAAAACACACACAAAAAAAAACCTCATTGCTCTCTGAGCAGGTTTGAAGCCTGATTCATGGGAAGGAATCTCATGACTGGTACTGTAAGACGGGTCAAAAGTCCATGGCTGGATAGGTCATAAGCCCTAGGGTACAATGCTATTTTGCTAAACCGTCATGCTGTAAAAATACCTTCCAGAGCCAGGCATGGTGGTGCATGCCCTTTAATCCTAGCACTCAGGAGGCAGAGGCAGGCAGATCATTGTAAGATGGAGGGCAGCCTGGTCTACATAGTGAGTTCCAGGCCAGCTGGAGCTACAGGGAGACTCTGTCTCAATCCGCAACAAACAAAAAAACCAAAACCAAAATGCCTTCTAAATATTTGTTTATACACAGTGGGCAGCAGCCAACAGCATAAATGGTCAAAGTGCTGAGAAAGAGTGTTCAGCCTTATATTGGACATCTATATAAACCCTCCACCAGGATTCAGGGAACATCTCAGAAGAGGCAAAAAGAATGTATGAGTCAAGGATGGGGAAGAGCCTGTGAAATGTGGTCTTCTGGAGATGACAAAGCTATGGCATGAATTCACAGCAGCTGAGGTTACCTGCACAAGGCCTGTAGAAGATCTGATCAAACCAGTAAACATCCTGGCATAGATGGGGTAGGTACTCTTCAGGCCCCACCCCTTACTGAGAAGCTATTAGGGGTTGATAAGTTTCTGGGGAAGGAGGAATCATTTTGTTTTGAGGATGTGGCCACTGATAGGAATTCGGTGGATGGCCTCACACCACGCACACAAGGGCAGCATTAAATGGACTGGTGGGTTACAAAATAAGACGTTGTATGTGGTGGTGCATACCTTAAATCCCAGCACTAGGGAGGCAGAGGTAGGTGGATCTCTGAGTTCAAAGCCAGTCTAATCTACACAGCGAGTTCTAGGCCAGCCAGGGCTACATGGTGAGGCATCGTCTCAAAAACAAAACAAAACAACAAAACCAAAAAATAAAAATAAAAAAATAAAAGACATGAAGTTGGGAGAGAGACCTATTGGGAGGACATAGGAGAAATTTAAGGGGGGAAACAGGGGTGGATATGATCCTATTTCATTGTATATATGTATGAAACTCTCAAGCAATAAACAATTTTTTAAAGAATCCAGAGTGATCACTGGGACAAACAAAAGCAGGTCAAACAGAAGTGCAAGGACACCACCTCATCCGTTCACAGAAGTCGGGACTCCGAGCATCTCCAACCTCTGTGCTCTGCAGTGTCCGCCAAGGCCCAGGTTCGTGGCTCGGATTCACCAGAGAGGACAGGGGGGCCAGATGAAGCAGCTTCACAGGATAGGACAAGATAGAACAGGGCAGGACAGGCTGCCGGGCTCCAGGATGCCTGTTCCCCACACAATTCAAGTGCACTTGGGGATGACGGCACTACACCCAGACTCCATCTAAGGCTGCACAGCGCCAGGGGAACGACCCAGCTGCGGCACCACATCAAAGCGCCGCGGTGTGACAAACCCGCCACCGACGACTCCAGGTGCCACCGTACACTCACCATTTCCCGCTTCTGGTGCATCCCGGCGTTCGCCCCGAGGGCCCTGCAGTCTGAGAAGAGATAGTCACTGACGCAGATGCCGATCTGCTACACGCCTACCGGCATCTCCACTAGACTCAAAACATGGCAGCAAGCATGACACCCTCAGACTATCCGTGCTTCTCATTGGACAAGTGGTGCAGCGCAGTAACAGCGTTCCTGATTGGCGAATAATAACGGAGGCCGGGCTCCTTAAGTCTAAGTAAAGGGTTAGAAATCCTTTCCCTTCCAGAAAAGAGCTAAAATGACAGGTTCCATTAGCGTTTTTTCTGCTGGAATAAACCTCATGAAACCTGGAGGATCTTTTCATTTAAGGAAAACAAGGTCTGGAGTTTTCATAGTGCAAGCACTGATGATAGGGTGGAGGTCCTTTCCTTAGTCCAGGCACACGAAGGAGGACCTGATAAGCAAACTGGAGGATTTGGGATGAGGCATGTGAACCAAAGTTCTCAGGAAGAAACTGAAATAGAATCTTTTGTAAGGCTGATTAACTGATTAGAACTTAAATGGTTGAATAGAATTTGAACTGTTACAGGTCCAGAGTCAAATTATCTTGGGTCAGCTTTAGCCCACTTAATAGCTATTTATTGCCCTCCTTTATACCTGACCTAACAGCATTGCATCCATTAGCCAAATCATTTGGAATGTACAAACAGAACACTAGTTTTCCTTTGGAATGTGTAAGTGGAACATGAATTTTCCAATCAAAGAAAAAGCTAAGAATATTGTCAGACAGTGTCTGAGGTCTGGAGGTTTCCCTTTTTGCTTTTAACCTGTCTGTATGTTTCCACCAACTTTTTGGTTTGGGTTTTTTTTGTGTGTGTGTGTGTGGAGTTTTTTGCTTTTCTTTTTGTTTTGTGGGACAGGACCTCCCTGTAGCCCCTGCTGGCCTGAAACTCACAGTGTACACCAGGCTGGCCTCAATCTCAGAGAGATCCCCTTGCCTCTGACTCCTGAGGGCTAGGACTAAAGGCATGCACCACCACACCCAGCCGGTCCACCAGTGCTGTTTAAGTCGTTTTTATTTTATTTTATTTACTTAATTAAATTAATTAATTAATTAATTAATTTAGTCTTTTTTGAGACAGGGTCTCCCGATAGCCCCAGCTGGCCTGGGATTCACTATGTAGACCAAGCTGGCCTTGAAATCACAGAGATCCACCTGCCTCTGCCTCCCAAGTGTTGGAATTAACGGCGTGTACCACCATGCCGGGATCCCACCAACGTATTTTTAAAGTGTCTAAATTTATGACTTTCTTTGCTCTGTTACTGTCCTTGTTTACTTTCTGTTGCAATAAAACACTGATCAAAAGCACCTTCTGGAGGAACGGTTTTATTTCAGCTTAAAGATTACAGTCCATCTTTGAAGGCAGGCAGGGGAGGAATTCTGGGCAGAAACTAAAGCAAAGCTCACCGAGGAATGCTGCTTACTGGCTTGTTTCCTCTGACTTGCTTAACTGTCCTTGAATATAACCCAGGCCAACCTGCATAGAGATGGCACTGACCACAGTAGACTGGACCTCCTACATCAGCTAGCAGTTAAGAAAATAACTCACAGACATGGCTACAGGCCAATATGATGGAGGAAATTTCTCAATTGAGAATTTCTCTTCCCTGGTGTGTCAAGTAGAATACTGAGGCTAACTATGGCAATTATTATTAAAACGTCATGACAGTGCTTCCATATTGGAACAAAGAATTTGAGGTAATCTAAGTCTGTGTTCCTAGGCCATGGTCACCAATATTAGCCTTCAGAATAAATTATCTCATCTCCTTTGAAGTAAGAATTTTGTTTTTTCCTTCACAGGCACATGCCCAAGGTTTTCTCACACCTTATATTTCAGTCTATTCCTTTTCAGCCAAGAATAAACCACACCAAGAAGGGGATACAGTTATTCAATGCATGGGGGAAAATGTTACAGGGAGCCCCACAGTGGTCATTCCCTACTGATGAGGCAGAAACACCTAACAGTTTAACTCAGGTAGCTTACTGTGACTACTACCATGAAATATTGCTTTCAACACCTTAATATTCCTAAGGCGAGCAATGCCATTCCCACTTACATTAAGATTTTATTTTATTTTATTTATTATTATTTTTTATTTTATGTGTATATGTGTATTGTCTGCAGGTAGGTAAGTGCACCTGTGTCGTGCAATGCCTGCAGAGGGCAGAAGAGGCCGTTGAATCCCCTGGAACTGGAGTTTCAGACAGTTGTTAGCTGCCATGTGGGTGCTGGGAATCAAACTTGGTTCCTCTGCAAGAACAGCCAGTGCTCTTAAGCACTGAGCCATCTCTCCAGCCCCTACATTAAGATTTTAACTAAAATAAACTATCATATCCTTTAACTCATGTGGAAAGTAGAATACAGGAACAAAAAAGACAAACTGAATGTGTAGAGGAACTACTAGCAAAGGACATATGAGGAAAGGCAGGAGAAGGGAGACTAAGGGTAGTTGGGAGGGTAGATGAAATCAAAATGTGATATGTCACAATGAAATCCAATAGTATTCCAAAGACTTTGATTTTGCTAATTATATATATATTACTTTTAGTATTGTTTTGAATTTTTGATTTTTAATTGAATTTTTGTGTATTTCATAAGGAACATCTTAATCAACTTTATACCCCCTTCTGTATTGGCATCTGCCCTTAACCCCTCACTGTAATTCATACATTCTGTCATTTTTGTTAAGGCTTATCATGTCAAGTTAGTGTTCCCAGACATTCCACAGTGCAAGTTCGTCCACTAAGGTCTAGTCAGCCTATCTAGTGTCTTTTCCTTTAAGAATACCAGCTCCTCCACACCCAACAGTAATCAACTGCCCAATAGTTCTTTGGCTAAGATTGGGACCTGCTGCCCATTTCCACAGTTCTGTGCTGGGTTTTGTCTACTAAAGTTTGCATGGGTCTTGTGCATGCTGACACCATTGCCGTAGGTTCATATGAGAAGGGTCCCAGGAGCCTTTAGAACTCTATTTTCATGCACTTCCCTGGCTATTACAATCTTTCCACCCCCGTTCCACAATGGTCCCTGAGTCCTGGGTTGATGCATTTCAATATAGGATTCCTGCCCAAGGACCCACACACACTCTGTGGATGCTTATTCTTTATGTTTTGGTAATTTATGACCTTTTGTATTCCTGGCCCTCTGTTGCATGAGGGAGCTTCATTGATGAGAATTGAGAGATGTATTAGTGTTCTCTTTATCCCTTGTTCTATGTTCCGTAAGTCTTGGGTGTAGAGGTTGCATCATAGATGCGCCACTTAGGCTTGGGCAATTCACAGATAGTCTCTAGGTGTGACCAGTTGTAGAACTTTATAATAATTTCTGTCTGTTGAAATGAAGCTTCTTTGATGGGTGGTGGCTGGGATACATGCTTGTAAATTTGAGGATCCATATTTTGCACATAGTAGGAAATTACATTTGACTAGGGACATGACAGTCTTGAGGTTTTCTCTAAGATCTATGACTTCTCCAGATATGTGTGTGTGGCTAGGTTTACAGTACCACACATGAGTTTCCTCCTACTGAGTGGGCTTTAAGTCCAATTAGGTAGCTGATGATTACCCCAAGACAAAAGTGCCATTCATGCACCAATGTCATTTGCTCTGCCAGTAATTGATGCGGTTATTATGCCTTGAAGCTGGGGTTGGACCATCAACTGATGTTCTCCCTTACGAGCTTGTGTAGGGCATTCCAAAGCTATGAGAGCTAGCCTTCAAGGGAGGTGGCTTCCAGGTCAGTTCCAACTCCACTGCTCCAAATCCTGTGTCTGAAGTATGTCCTTTTTTCAGCAATAGGGTCTTATTGTCAAGTTCTGGGAGGCAGTCAAGGCGTAAGCATTAGCCTATGGCATTAGTTTGTGTAATTTTGGGAGTTCCTTGGACTACCCTGGGCAACAACTCAAAAGAAGATTTCTCCCGTCTGGCTCTGTTTCTTGTTGTGTAGCCTTCAGCTATACACATGGACTCATGTGGAGGAGATATTGTATGTATAATTTTTCAGTAGGTTTTTGGACTAAGATGATTTCCTCTGGCTTTTTACGCTAGCTAGGTATTATTTATCTCTTCTCTCTCTCCCTGTCTTACACTCTCTCCACACCCTCCCCATTTAAAGTATACCCACTTTCCCCCATTTCTCTCTTGATAATTCCTGTCTGCTATGGTCCTACCTCTCTTAAGCTCCTTCTTTCCCTTTATCTCCATAGTTCCTTGTATAACCTTACTGCCCTTCCCATTTAAATACCCACATTTTATACATTTCTCTCTTAGTAAGTCCTGTCTCTTACTGTTCTTCTCTCTCACGTTCCTTCTTTCCCTTTATCTCCCTGGTTCCTTTCCATTTTCCTGGTTCCTGCAGTTACAACAGGATATATACTCACATGTAAGGATTTGGTGCTAGTATCCATAAATGAGAGAGAGTATAAATCATTTGTTTTTCTGAGTCTGTGAACAGATTCTAGTTCCATCCATTTACCTCCAAATTTCATTTTTTCATCTTTCTTTACTGCTGAGTAGAACTTCATAGTGTAAATGTACCACATTTTCATTATCCACTCATCAGTTAAGGGGCATTTAGGTTATGTCCATCTCTTAGTTGTTGTGAAAAGGGCAGCAACAAACATGGTTGTACAAGACTCTCTGTGCTAGGATAAGTCCTTTGGGTCTATGCCAGGGAGTGGTATAACCAGGTCATATGGTAAGTTCACTTTTAGTTTTTAAAGAATTCTCCAAACTGCTTTCCAGAGGGGTTGCATGAGTTTGCAATCCCACCAACAGTGGATGAGCGTTCCCCTTTCCCCACATCCTCACCAGCATTTGGTATCATTTGTTCTCTTCATCTTAGTCTGACTGGGGTGGGATGAACTCTTGAATTTGTGTTTCCCTAATTACTGACGATGCTGAGAACTTTTAAAGATGTTTCTTAGCCGTCTTTATTTCTTCCTTTGAGAACTCTGTTTAGATCTTTAGCCCATCTTTTAATTGGATCATTTGTTTTCTTGATTCTCTGTTAAGTTCGTTACATATTCTGGATGTTAAACCTCTGACAGATATGTCACTGGTGAAGATTTTTTCCCCACTCT